TCTCTCTCTCTCTCTCTCTCTCTCTCTCTCTCTCTCTCAAACTACAGCTATGGTGCCAGGCACAGTCGACTACTGCTCAGCTCACAAGCTCAATGGATGATATAACGCACAAGAACGCAGCAGCGCTTAAGTGTCAAACACCAAGAATGACTCCCTTCTGCATTGGCCCTGGTGGCCTTTATGCTTTGCTGCTGCTTGCGGCTGGACCATTCCTTGGGGCTGGCCGGCTCTCCGACATACCCTGCTGGTCGGTCGTTGGGACCGACTGCAACACTGCCTATCCCTACACCTACTTGCGCTACGGCCACTTGGCCCGGTCACGCACGCAAGTCTTCCAAAGAAAAATGCACATCTCATACATTAGAAAACGAGCTACAGGACTGGACCTGGTCACTGAGAGTCATGATTGCTTTCATGTCTTTCCCCCCTGGTTTAATTCCCCTTCTTGAGTAGCAGAGTATGGCATCGACTCAAAGTTGAGTCTTTCCCTGCTTGGATTTGAACCGACGAGACAGCAACGACCCCATAGATAGGGTACAGTGTTGTGTAGATCTGACTACCGGTAGCAACTCCCAAAATTCACACTCCAAGATCAGGCCCCACGTTTTCAGAAAGTGTCAACACCCGAGAGCACTGCCTGTTGATTACCCCTCTCATCCGCCCAACGGCTCCAATTTAGAGGTGATCTTAAATAGTTAATAATCAGCTCATCAGTACCATTGGCCCCAACACCCTGGGTTTTTCAAAACAAAAACAAATAATAATTAAAAAAAAAGAACTGTCGGCATCCTGGGTCGAAGTTAGCTTACAAGATCCAGGCCATGAGTCCAGCAGGACAGCAGAAGGGCAAGATCTTTATTTCCTAACAATAGCGGTTTGTATAATAAGGGCGGGGGGTGGGGGGTGGGGGGTTGGGGGTGGGGGCTGGGCGGGCTAGCAGAGGGGGAATGGACAGAAAGAAGACGGAAGTGGGCCCTCTCGGCTCTGGACAATTACCGTTGGTCGTTCAAGATCCTTTACACCTCCTACATAATCATAAAGAATCCGATTAAATGGATCATACATCAACCTGCAGCACACCATGAAGTTCCACACCACCGAAACAGGACAACACAAAAAATGAACACAAGAGGTTCATCAACCTTACCCAGAAAGTTTCACCACAGGTTCGAGCAATACTCACACCACGACTTCAAGTCAGTCCATTCATCCATAGTTGACAGTCAAGTTTAGGCGAGAAGTACTATCGTGAATATGCCCTTATAAATTAGCTGTTTCGAACTCAATATCCAGTTGCCACGATAGGGTTGACGGTTAAACATACTCCAGGGTCCAGAAACACAAAAGCAATCACCCAGACGATGAGAAAACAGGATAGGAGATCGGACTCACAGCATCAGAAGAAACAGGTGCATGACAAGAGGCAGCAGTACAACATGAGCTAGACATGATTGTCACCTGCCCACATGTCTTTTGAGGATCATATAACCAGCATCATTCCTCTCTCTCTCTCTCTCTCTCTCTCTCTCTCTCTCTCTCTCTCTCTCTCTCTCTCTCTCTCTCTCTC